AGAAGCACCTCTTATTTGTATCAAACCTCTGTTTATTCACTTTCTTCTTGTCATTCATTGACACCAGGCACTGATTTAGAACTAAGACAATTCCTTTTGATTTAGATGAAGATATAGAGTTGGGCCTCATCCACATACTTGTGACACTGAGCCCCAAAACTCCACACAACTTGTTCCAGCCATTTCATGTTGTACAGTACAGTATATGTTAAATAGGATGGAGCACAAAACAGAACCCTGACAGATGCCACAAACCAGGGCATTGAAGAAGAGTCTCCCAGCACCACTTTCTGATCTCTCCCCTCCCAGAAGAACTAGAGCTTATGGCAATATCACATTCACGGGATCTGTATCGGCTGCAGCATCCAAGTCAAAGTGAATCCAAGTAATCTTGCCTGCAGAGTGTTATACAAATTCCTCATAGTGAGCCTAGTGCTCACTTTTGAGTGTCTTGCACTCTCTTTTTGTGGGCCAGCACTTGAGAAATCTCCATTGGACAACTCTCTGCAGACACATTGGTGGCAAAAAAGAATGACTTCTTCACTGCCACGGAGTTTGCCTTCCAATAGGCTGCAGCCCATGTTCACTCAGATCTTAGTTTTTTACCATCATCACTCCAATCTCTGTTCCATTCATTTCATCACTACCAGTTCTCTAGTAAACCAGGGGGCCAGTTTGGCTCCACTTCATGGGAGGAAATACTTAGGAGCAATTGTGTCTATGGCTCTGCTCATTCCCCCATTCCAGAAATCAACTAAGGCTTGGACAGAATCACCTGTTGAGGTGACAGAAAATTCCCCAATAGCCATCAGGGAACTATTCAGATCCCCCACTTTCCGGAGAAAGCTGTCCTAATAGGCTTCCACTCTTGCAGAGCTGCAATGACTCTAAACCCCAAGAGTAATGATCTCTCCATGATAATGGAACTGCAAAGAATTTCTCCACATCAAGATCACAAGTACTGTATCTCTCCCGGTTAAAAAAACATGTTCAGGGTGTGCTCTGAAGTATGGGTGGGGCCAGATACTATTTGGGATAGACCAATGGTTGTCATGGAGAACATGAAGTCTTGAGCCAAGTCAAGGAGATTCAAACATCATGCCAAGATCAGCTCAGGAAAGGAGACTGTTGAGCAGTGAGGTTATAGCACAAGTCAGATAAGTAGCCTTGTCTCTATATACTAGTTCCGATATCTTGCTAATATCATAGGTAAGATCTAGTAATTTTTCAGAGCAGCTTCTAGTCTCTGTATTATATTCAAAAACTAGAATGTGTTTCTAGTTCCACTGAAGGTTAAGTATGGTAAATAGATCTTAGAATAACGGACTCTGCTGTCATAAATTCTACAATATATAATTTCTAAGTAAAAGGGAACATTTTCTCTGCACAGTTCTAAGCTATCCCCTTCAGGAAATTCATCATCATCATAATTCTATATTATGTCTCACAGTGATTTCCTACTGCTCAAAGTAAGAATTTTGTATGCCTTAAAATAATACTTAAAGAATTGGATTAAGTATTGCAGGGAATCAGTACTATAGCAGGCAGTTTGTAATTAGAACTGCTTGATTTGTCTCCACTAATCTTTCCTCAGCTGTGGATTTTACATCAAATAGTTGGTTTTCCCAAGGGCACCATAAGACGTAGAGACCAAGCTACAGTAAATAAAGATACTTAATCCATTTTAGACATGAGCCAAGAGCCTAGTTTCCTTATCTGTCAGGGTTCTCCCTTCCCTGGATTTATGAGGTGTTTCATTCTGCACATATTCAGTTTTTCCTACAGTCTGTGGGTGCAAAGGGCAAGCCGTCTGTATGGTTCACTATGTGAAAAGGAGAAATATATTACTACTTTTGGCGGTCAGTCTGGGGAACAGCCATTCTGCCTCTGAACGGCCACAACTCAGTGGTAGAACATATACTTTGCAAGCAGAAGGTCACATCCTTGTCATCTTTAGGCTGAAATAAAAAAGATTCCTGCTTGTCACCTTGGGAAATTATTGCCAATCAATGATGACAATTCTGGGCTGGGTGTACTATTTGATTCAGTAGAGTATAAGGTTGCCTCTTGGATTCTAATGATTTACCTTCCCCCCCCCATCATATGTAGTCAAATCAGTGATTCTCAAACTGTGATCCCCAGATGTTCTTGGACTGCAGTTCCCAGAAACCTTCACCACTTGCTGTGCTAACCAGGATTTCTGGGAGTTGCAGTCCAAGAACAGCTGGGGACCCAAGTTTGAGAACCAGTGGTCTAGATTAAAAATAATATTAATCATTGCTTTGGGGAACCAAAGAGTCCCCCCTTCATTGTGAATGAGCAGGATGTGAGACAGACTATGAAAGTGGTTAACTCCAGAAAAGCAGCTGGACCCGACTTAATTCCTGGTCGGGTGGTAAAAGACTGTGCTGATCAGCTAGCCGGGATATGGACTGTAATTTTTAATCGATCCCTGACACTATGCGCAGTTCCCGTCTGTCTCAAGGCTTCCGTCATCGTTCCACTGCCTAAAAAGTTGCCTACAAACAGTCCGAATGACTACAGGCCAGTGGCACTAACTTCAATCTTAATGAAGTGCTTTGAGCAGTTAGTTCGGAAATATATTATCTCCTGCCTTCCTGATCCCTTTGATGGGCTTCAGTTTGCTTATAAAGAAAATAGATCAACCGAGGATGCGATCAATACTGTGCGTTATATGGCTTTATCCCACTTGGAAACACAAGGGAATTATGTAAGAATGCTGTTCGCGGACTTTAGCTCTGCTTTTAACACCATTATACCCCACAGATTAATAGACAAACTTAAAGATCTTGATTTTCCAGATTCTATCTGTCTGTGGATTTTGGATTTTTTAACAAATCGTCCACAAAGGGTTAAACTGAATGACTACATCTCTACTGACAAGATACTCAGCACTGGCACTCCACAAGGCTGTGTCCTTAGTCCACTACTGTTCTCCATTTATTCATCAGATTGCACCAATAACCATCCCAGTAATAGGATTATCAAATTTGCAGACGATACTACACTAGTAGGACTTATCTCTGGGGATGATGAGTCTGCGTATCGGGACGAGGTATTACAGCTATCCCGCTGGTGCAAAAAAAACAATCTTTTATTTAACATCCAAAAAACCAAGGAAATCATAGTGGACTATAGGAAAAAAAGAGCAGACATTCAGCCACTGTATATAGATGGAGTTTGTGTGGAACAGGTGGTTGAATGTAAGTTTCTTGGGACTATCATAACAAATGACCTGACTTGGAGTGCAAACACCGCTGCGTTAATCAGGAAGGCACAACAACGGTTGTATTTTCTAAGGATTCTTAGAAAGCAACAATTGACTGAGAGTTTGTTAATCACCTTCTATCGGAGTTCGATTGAGAGCATATTATCCTACTGTCTCTGTGTATGGTTCACGAGCTGCACAGTGGCAGAGAAAAAGGCAATTCAAAGGGTGATTAAGACGGCCCAAAACATCATTGGCTGTTCACTCCCCTCTTTGGAAGAATTGTATAAGAACAGATGTAAGAGGAAGATATCTAACATACTGAAAGACTCCTCTCATCCGGGATATCAGCTCTTTAAACTATTACCATCAGGAAGGAGATTCAGGGTATTGAAAGCAAGGACAAGCAGATTCAAGAACAGTTTTTACCCAAGTGCAGTATTGAGTTTAAATGTGGGGCCATAGGTTTTTGGTGGATTTTAATTGCTGAGAGAAAACGGGGTATCTATATTTGGATGGTGAAAGTTGTGTATATTTTAACTTTTTTTTGTAGTGTTGTCCAGTTTTACCTTGGGGAAGAGCACCTCATTTCGTTGCACCCACTTGTGAGCGCAATGACAAATAAATTTCTTATGTCTTATGTCAAAGGTTTAACAATGGATTTTACCTCATTTTTGGCATACCTTTATTAGTTCTTGTGCACAGTCTGCCTTTACGCATATCATTTCTTTATGCAGTGTGTTTCTACTGCAGGGCTTGCCCCAGTATTGCTGCCAGTAAATTCTCAAGTATGGTTGTCATCTTTGCGAATTGTTAATCTAAATTCCAAAGGGTTCTGAATACTCTTGGTAGTTTCTTCCTTGCTTCATCTGAATGCACACCACCCCTCTCTATTTGCACAGTACTCTAGTTTACCAAATGTAAGCAATTCCCTCCACAACTGAAAGATGAATAAAGGGCATCACATGCCAGGAATGTCTGAGCCTAGTTTGGTGGGTAAGATCCTCAGTTTTAGACCACAGCAAAAAATAACCTACCCCCTTATGTCATTCTTCTTGCTCTTTTTGTTGTTGCTGCTGTTTTCTCCTTAACATATGCATGCTATTTTCATGAACAAGACTTATTTATCTTGGATTGTATATCCAATGTAACTCAACAAGGATGGCTGAAAATGAACTACAGTGGTGCCTCGCTAGACGATGATAATCTGTTCCACTGAAATCGCTGTTTAGCGAAATCATTGTCTAGCAAAAAGCATTTCCCCATTGGAATGCATTGAAACCTGTTTAATGCGTTCCAATGGGGAAGAACCGTCGTTGTCTAGCGAAGATCGGCCATAGGAAAGCCGCTTTGCGAACCGCCGATCATCTGTTTAAATCACTGTCTTGCGAAGCTTAGATCCCGAAAACACCTGTTTTGCGAGCGTCGAGGGAACTGTCAAAATCGTCGTCTAGCAAAAATCGGTTTGCGAAGCAGGGACCAAACATTGTCCAGCGAAATTCCCCCATAGGAATCACTGTTTTGCGAATCACTATAGCGATCGCAAAAAGTCAATGTCTAGCGAAAAAACTGTCGTGCAGGGTAACTGTCTAGTGAGGCACCACTGTATGGGCAGATTATATCTTAAATTTCTAGGCAAGAATGCTTGAAATAGAATCCTAGAATAAATTGTTAGTTTGTAATTTTTGATATAGTGCTGGTAAGTTCAAAAGTGAAATGGTGTTATAGCATCTGTGTTCTCTATTTGTGATGGGTATTTGCATTTCTACAGAGTGCCTCTGATGGCTTTTGGAAATCTGTGGCAACTCATGTTCCAAGAGAGCCTCATGAGATCCGTATACTGAATCCATATTTCATCCAGGAAGCAGCTTTCAGCTTTATTGGCCTTCCTTTCAACAATGGTGTTATGGGCAGAGGGGTAAGTGTACAGAGAGCTTAACCCTACTATACACTTTTCCTTTTTTCACACTGCTAATGGAAAATAAAACCTGGAATTATTCCATTACCCTCTTCCCTTTCCCAAATTTCTGCCCATCTAAGATTATAAATCCCTCTGGTTATGAAGTATGTCTCTTCTATACTTTGTGCAATATCAAATTGTTAGATACCAGTGATAAGAAAAAATTAGAAGAAGAGTAAATCAAAAGCCAAACATAAGAAGGGTATAAACACCCTCTATTTGCCACTTCACATTTCTCTTTTAAATTTGAAACACTAAATGACACATATAGCCATAAGTGCAATGTGTACAATATGCTGCAACTTCCAGCTTTGTTTGCATCTGTGTCTATCCTAGAATAAAAGAAATATTTTTAGATAAAAGTACAGTTGCAGCCCATCAAGAATATATTTTTTCCGACTGAGTGATTTTGACTGCTGACTAGGACCACTCAAAAGAAGCATATAACCCCCTTGCGACAGCATTTTTAGTGTCGACCATGCTGTTTCTGGGTCCAATTCATGTATAGTGGAGGGGAGGAAAGATTTTTAATGTCATGGCACACACATTCTACCAATCCTAACCTACCCTTCTACTATGAAAAGTTGATGTCCAAAGCATGCTAGTTCCCTAATTTCTCCATTTCTGTTTTGCCATCTTTTCCTTTCTTTATCTGACACTTTTACAGTTCTGGAGCTCTTAAGTCCTGGAAGTTTACAGGTTCTTGTTGGGTGATGTTGAAGGATGTATAAATAATGTCCCTTAACATGTCTATACAAATAGCATATTCTATATACATACTGAATCCCTTGAGTGTGCAGATGCCAAACTTCTTTGGTTAGTGGTTCTATTTTAATTTTAAACTGACAGACATGGCATCGCCTTTGTTTAGTGATATTCAGGATTAGGGAGGAGGATTGTCTTTACTGAAAAAAGAAGGGATTACAAATTTTCTTCTTGAGTAGGGTCTTTATTTGTCTATTGTTCACCCATCATCTTCGTAACAAGCTTGTAAGTCCCCTTATCAAGAGAAGGGCAGCCTATAAATAAGACTAATAATAAATTCTTTGAATGTAGGCAACAGGAACACTTAATTCATCCAACGATTTTAAAATGTTAGTAAGCACATAATAGGACAATTGCCGTAGTGAAACAGAGATTCTGGCAGATACAGAAAAAGGTGTCCTTCTATATTTGTCACTTTTCAGCCTTTTATCTAGACCAGTGGTTCCCAGCTTTAGGTAACCCTAGTGTTCTTGGACTTCAGCTTCCAGAAGCCCTGGCCATCATAGCCAGTGGTGAAAGATTCTGGGAATTGCAGTCCAAGAACACCTGGGTTACCCAAGGTTGGGAACCACTAATCTAGACTGATATAGTGAGAAACATATCATGGAGATTGCCCACAAGCCTCTCTGTCTCCTCTTTATTTCTAGTACAATAGATTCTTTTCCCTATAAACAACAATAAGTGATTCTCATTGTGTGGTTTTTAAATTCCTGAATTTCTCTTTTGGAGGAAAGAAGAAACTGCCAGACAAAATCAGCTTTGTGGTGCTGTATCCTTCCCCCACAGTTAACCAATACTATCTCATTAAAAGCAATGAGCAAAGATAAATAATTCTGCAATAGAGATAGGACAGGTTGCTTCTTAATAAGAGTTTAACTGCTTCCATATTTACTTTACTATAGTGTATTCTACTTGCTCCCATTGCAGGATGGATTTGTCTGGAATTCTTCTGATTAGTATTTTACAAGCATTTACAGTTAAGGCTTTATTTTCTGGTGTCCAAAAATAGATGCATTTTCATTTGAATCCTGCTAAGTTTCTTATCCTGTTTGTACATGTCTAGTGACAACCAATGTAAAGGTGGCAGCACAGTGTGGAAAAAACATTTCTTCATCTCAATTTTCTCTCTTTGCTTCACAAAATGGCCCTTGGTTTTCTATGCTATGAAGAGTGACATTAGATTCTTCCTCTCTGCATCCCTGTTGGGGTTTGTAATTAGAGGGACATTTGTCAACTTCTCTCTGCAATAAACCATCTTACCCTTTCTTTCATTTTAGGAAAACAAAAAACAAAAAAGGTCTTGAGGTGTTAGAGTGCCTTGAAATCTCTGAGTACAAAACCAGAAAAACGTCTTTTGTATTCTTATATGGATAGCCACCATGGTAAAAGAGGGAACCTTCTTGCAGAATAGTGATCTACAGGATGTATTTTAAAGTATTTCTTTAGAATTTTTTAACTATTGCCAGAAAACACAAATGGGGAAAAGGAAAAGACTCAAAAAACCAGTCCCTTTTGTATTAAATAAAAGGACCAGTACACAGAAAGACACAAAAATAAAAAAGGCAGCTCCTGAAAATAACCTGAAATTAAATAAAAATGAAAGTTTTCACTGTGCACATCCCTATGTGATGCCGTCTTCCAAGAAGGAGAATTCTACTGAAAATAAAAGGGAAGTATTACTAGAGGAAGGGGGAGCGCCTTTAATTTTTCTAACACTACCAAGCTCTTTGGGGCAGAGGCCCACTTGCCCCACTCTGTTCACAGCTCTGGGGGCATGTATCATAATCTTCAAAGGTGAAGAAAGTAATTGGTACTGTACTTTAATATCAACCTTTCATTGTTTCCGTTCAACTTCAGTCAAACCCAGGTTGCTGGATTCTAATAGATACCATAAGAACCCAGCATTTAGTGATCTGCTGGAAGGGGCATCATAGCATGTATGGCAAAAAAAAATTAATTCCGCATTTCCTGATGGTTGCTTTTATGTCTTATATCTCTACCTAATAACATACATACTTGGGTAATATTCAGAGAAAGGCAGAAGTAATGGAAGTTTAAATCTAAAGTGCTGTATAAAAGCTGTACACACAAGGAGCTGTTCTTCAGTGGCAGGCTGCCTCTCAATAGCCAGAAGCCCTCTGTTATGAGAAGATTTTATGCTTTAGTGAGAATTTTCCTAAACCCTTACAAATATACATATACTGTGAATTCACCTTTGTTCCTCCTTGGTCCTTGTTACACAGCAGCTCTTTGGAAGGGGTGGTGGTGTTTGGTGGATGCCTTTAAAAAGCAGTGTGGGTCTTTTAAAAAACCTAAAACTTCACCATTCACTTTTTGCTCAGTTTATTTTTAGTTTGAAACATATTATCAGAAACACAGGAGCAATTACATAGATTTTGTACAGTAGGGGGAGGGACTGCGGAAATGAACATGCTGTGAATCTAACTTATTGAGAGTTTGATAGGTTGCGTTACGCATATAAGATTGGTAAAATCAGCCAAGGAGGTCTTTAATTAGAACCTGATGTTTCATTTCATGAAAGTCTGCTTGGGCATTTTTTAAAAAAAGATCTAGTTTATGAGACTTTAAGAAAAACAGATTTTGCCAATGGCCTGTGTCATGTGAAGTAAGCAATAAACTGTTTGCTAAGGGACTTTGAGGGGAAACAGAATAAACTAAGAATGCAGGTATAAAACAGAATGAACATAGTGTGCAGGTGTAGATTCTTAGAAATCTGTTTCTTGTAGTGACAATAATTATCCCAGCTGAGAGCGTAAGATAATATTTACTTGAGACTTGTATGCACATATTGGCTAAGCTTTCAAACACAACAAGAATGTGTGAACCTGCCTTTTGATTTTCATGGTATTTTGAATATACATTAACCAAATCTTCTCACACATCAGGAATTGATTCCCCCCTCCCAAATATACCGTGAGCTTAATAAAATATATTATTTAATGAAAGCCCACTTAAAGAATTCCTTTCTTCAGCATGTCCAGAAATGTGCAAAAAGGTACCAACGTAGGTCAGGTCAGCCTTGAGGTAGATCACCTCCTTAATAACTAGGGGCAATCTGAAGTTCTTCTAAAAGTTCATAATATTCCATTCCTTTTACCAAGATTAAATAAACTTCATGGCAATGCTAACACGCCACATATGGTAACAATGTGCTGCCAATTAACTTTGTAATTTTAGGGCTTTTTCAAGAGAGTTGAGAAGGCTGAATGAAATGGTTCAAGGCTGATCCCAAAGCATTTCTTCCAGGATTTAATAAATGGTTAAATGCAGGAACATCCTCCACCTTGAGACTATAATTTTTGCCAGATGAATGTGGAGAATACTGTGAGATACAATAGTGCATATGCAGCAAAGATGGATGGATGGAAGATCTATTCCAGAGATGGAGAATTGCTTTCTAGGTGGAATTGCGTTGGGAAAGAGGAACCTTCAACATGCTGTTTTATTCCTAACGGAAATCAGTCTGGAATAGAAGGAGGGGGAGCCGCCAAATGCAGTCAAATATATATCTTTGTCCAATGCTGTCTGAGTTTGAGTTGTAATTTGAATTTGGCAGAGAGACATCAGTAACGTCTACTATGAAAGTGGGATACTGAGACCATATCAATTCATGCTGAAATAGCAGAACTGGATCCTGTTTTTAGGCTCAATTGAAAGTTTTAGTTGTCACTGTTAAAACCGTCTTCAACTCTGGACTATGCTATCTGAAGGATATCTTCCTCTTCCTCCTGTATGGTCCTGCTTTTGTGTGTTAAGGTCATCCACAGAGGCTTTTTTGCTGCTTATCTGTTGCTTTGGTTGATTTCAATTTGTTTTTATCTGTTACTGGTTTTTATTGTATTTCATTATATTTTATCTTTTGTTCGTTTGTGTCTGTTTTGAACTGTACAAAGGAAAAATGTGCCTTAAATAAATGCCAATAATGATACTTAACATCTAGGACAAGCCCTTATTAATCCTTTCACTCGTCACTTTGAGTATGCAGAGTAATTTATATTCTTTATCTTTTCTGTCCTTGCTGCTATCATGGCAATTAAAGATACAGGGAAACTAAGTTGGCAGAGATTGTATCTAACTCACTGTGTGGTCTTGGGTAATTCATGAACTATGCTTATGTTGATTTGTTCAGCTGATTTGTTGCTGTGGTGAAAAACGCCATCCACAGCAGTGAC